GCCCAAAGGCCCCAAACTATTTTATTTTTAACGTTTTAAAGCGCTGTTTATAAATCCTAGCCGGTGGACTAACGCCGAGAGTTTTGTTTGTATAGGCCGCATTGGTACTGTGTCTGATTGTATAAAATCATGAGCTGGGCTCATTATATTAACAGAAACTTCAAAACTGAGCCACCTACCAGCAATACAAACCTATCCAATTTGAGAGCGGCAGCACTCTCCCCTTGACAAGCAAAATCGACTGGTATATAAAACATTAAAATAATAAAGTAGGTTGCATGATAGACAGAGCACTGTTACATGTTGATATAGTTCAAAACAGAGTGAACAAAACTGTAACTGAAAAGTTTAATCTTCAACCCTTTGTCGCTCGTATTCGACAGTTCCGCTTAGCTCGGGACAACCAAGGGACAACCATAAATCTTAAGTGAAACAACTGTGTACTGCATGCATGTATGAATCATATACGGTTATGTGCGTGTTTGTACGGTGTATAGCCCCAGTTAACGCTCTATAGAGCGTCTTGTTCATTATTGTTTTATTCATGCGACTTTCCATATATTCACAATGGATGGCGAGTCTGTTTATCAATGGTTTATATTAAATATAAATTTTACAAAATGGCGTCGTTAGTACAGAATAATAATGAGCATTCACTGACGTCACCGGAGCAAAAATGCACCGGTGATTTTGGCGCGCTTGCGGGTGACAAAAGTCCGTAGCTTCCAGGAACCACGAACCGCGGACTTTGGAAAGTCTAGCTTCTGTCTTAAAAGTTCGACATTTAGTGCCGAATTTTGTATTTCTGCTCCGAATATGCGTTAATCCCAACCGGAAATACGACGAAAAACCGTCAAAACAATGCTACGCTTGCATCGCGTGACTCTGGAAATGCCAGAAATGGATTCTACAGGTCAAAGTGCACCCATACGCGTGAGTTTTACGTCATCCCGGCTAAAGGGAGCTCCTTATTGGCCAAGTATTACGTAATACAAGCGCGTGCCAGTAAAACCCGATACTTTAAAAATTCAAAATAAATATTTCTATTCGGCGTATACATACGAAACTTTCTACACGAAAGCGCTTGAATACAAAGAGTATTTTACACATATATCCTTTCAGGAAATGACACCAAAGTTTAGAATATATTCAACTTTTTCTAATTTTCTCGTTTGAATGTTTTGGCGAAGCGGTGAGTATAAATATATGATTGTTTCGGTTTGTGTAATGTTTTGACGGCACTTGACCCCCCGTTCGAAAGGTTATATTGTGAGGATTTCAATGGTGGCATTTATTTAAAAGGGGGGGTAAATACTCGCCGAGATATTTATATTAGAAAATTTGAATCGAAATGTAATACGAAACCATTAACAAAACCTGACACGTACCCAAGAATCGTGAAATTAGCCAAAAACATTGCATGTGAGTCATAGCCTTTCGAAAACTTCGTTTTGCTCAGTTCGCGTCTTCAGGAAACCTCACTTTCGGTTTTCAAACGTGTTTATAAGATATTTATGAACAACGATAGTCTATTTTGCAATCTTTTAAATGATGTTTCAAAGTCAAGGCAAGCGTGTATAAATCGCCTTATATAGCAATCCAAAAAATTCTAAATTGGTACACTTTTTCAAAAATAATTTTCCGTATCCGTGAAAACTCCAATTTCCTTGAAAATTAGGGAATGTAAAGAGAAACTGTTTCTCTAAAAGCTGATGTGAAAGTTATTTTGAGGCTTTTTGTTTCCGGCCGCGGAATTATACTTACTATAATATGCAGAAAATCACAAGAAAAACCTTAAGTTTGGTACATTTTTTGAAAATTTATTAATTTTCCCTTTCCGGCAAACTCCGATTTCCCTCAAATTTAGGCAAATGTATGAGCCAATATTGCTCTCAAATCTGGTGTAAAAAATATTATGGGGGTGTTTTATGTCTGTCTTCTTGCGCGAGTAAACATTATACTATTCCAGACCTGTTGCACTATAGATGTTGCATTTTCCGCAGCTCGTTACTGGGCACTTGTTTTGCCGTATTCATTAAAAATGAAAGAGCCAAACGCGAGTTTGGGATATTTTGAGCTAGGGGTTACAATTACCCCTACCCATTTTATTCTTGAAATTACTTACTATTTATTAACTTTAACAGAAATAATTACGACAAAGTCAAAGACCAGTTATTGATAGCCTGCTTAAACCACTACTCAATAGCTCGTAAAATATCCGTATAATCTATTTTTTCAAACTAAATATCTGTGCTTAGTTTTCTCTGAAGTTGTCGCATATTGAGATTAGGGCTAGATGTTGTTAAACTCGCGATGTGTCTACAATGCAATTAGTGACGTGTTTGTATAAATAAACTTCCGAATAGACAGAAATTAAAGTAATATCAAACTTGATGTATAGAACATGCGCTGAATTTACTTTGTTACAAGCACAATAACTGCATGTAAGCGACATGCTCTTTTAATTAGGAAACTAATTTGCTAATAACCATTCTTTTGTTCAAAATCATGCAGACCTTTATAATTTAAATAATATACCTTTAAAATATGACAATTGATTAATTTTAAGCAGCTATAGATTATCCATGACAAACTGCAAGAAAAATGAAGATATTACCCATACTTTCGGTGCATATTCACACCGGGCAAGCTTGAAAAACATGCCTGACCACGGTGGGATTTATAGAAATCTGACCAACTATGTTGGCATTTTTTATGAGCTGAGCTGTTGGAATCCCCTGCGCTGCATTACGGTAATAAATACCTGTCCAAAAATAAGTCCATGCATGGGCTAACACACAGAGGGGCTTAAATCATGGGCAGATTTACGGGGGGGTTAACCCCCTCCCGTAGAATCTCTCTAACCCCTCTAATAAAGTATTTCTCTTCACCCCTCCTATTCTGTGTGAAAGGCTTTAACCCAAATACCTAAACCTGCCGAAGCTCACTGAGTGGTGGCACTTGCACCCTACCAGAAATTTTTCTACCCCTCCTTTTAAATAAATGAAAATCCGCCATTGGCTTAAATGCAGGAAAGAGCCTACATTCGGAATCTCCTGAATGTTAGTTAATATGGTGGGATTATACACAGGAGAGCTTATATCAACATATTTGTGGAGGAGGGGGGGGGGGGGCTTTATATGTTCAGATTGAGGTTTATAGTAATTGCATTCAAGATTGCAATCGGTATTGAATGGCTTGGACTTGATATCTTTGGTCTAGCATATAGCAATTTTTCACTTGCCTGTTGTAGAAGTGACATTCACATTTAATATAACTACACAGTAATTATAAATAACTGCTACAAGAACCTGGCAAGACTATCACTCCGAGTTTGTCAACAAGGAAAATTTGCTTATTATGAAAACAAAACCCTGCTAAATTATGAAAACACAGAGGCTAGTGGAGAATCAAAAGAACAATAAAATTTACAGAATTCCCAACTATTTACATGATTGCATATGTCTATGTGTCCTGTTTATACTTTATATCCCTGTGGGGGTTTGTGCTTCGTGTATAATTTTCTTGATTTCTATCGAGTTCAAAGCAAGCTATATATTAGGTAGGTTAAGATACCTTGGTTTCGGTGTACAGTACTGCTCAGAAATAACATAACACTGCATTCGCGTTCCGAATGCGGTCGGAGCGCGGTTGGAACACGGTCGGAACGCGCTTGGAACGCGTTCCAGAGGAAACGTGGAAACGAGTTCCCCACTTTGGCTATAAACCGCGTTCTCGCATCGGAAAATCCCGACACCGGATGAAACATGAGCTACTGTAGGTTTGACAGTTGACAACTATGAACAATTAATATCGAGCTTCATCCCAGGCTGAAACTCGACACAGTCCAGGCAGCATGTAATTCACAAATAATTTTAAAAAATCGTCTTAATGGCTTTGTTTGGCGTGTTTGTTTCGACTGTATATGTAACCATAAACACACAAATCAAATAGCCGAAAATGCTTCAAATCGTGATCGTGTCTTTCAACCCGAGCTAGAAAGGTCTGTGTTGTCCACAGGCTACATTTCAGCAATTTAACAACATGGGATGAAAATAGTTCCCACTAAAACTCAGCCGGCTCAAACTGCTCACGGGCAATCAAATAGATCGCTATCTAACGTGCTGAAGCAAACGTATATTTCATGTAGCATACTTGCTACAGTTTATTTTAAATTGTCGCCGCTTGTGTAATTTTGTTACGCATAACTAAGTCATTACACATGATTATACAGTATAAACATTTACAATTAATCAAAATACTAGTGACTGTGACATTTTTGACTGCCCAACATCTCGTGTCGATTCTATAATAAGTGCATAGTGCTTGCAATATACATTTACTAACAATCGTACCAACTTATGATGATATTTCCTTACTGTCGCACGCGAATACACGCAAATCAGCAATAAACATCGCTTGCGTGCTACTGTTTTATTATTATTATTTTTATTAAAGTCTTTTTTTGTCTTGCGTCACAACAGACGTGCAACTTTACAAATGTCAAATTCCTATTTGTTAGAGTTAAAAAAATGATCTATCCTAATTAATTATATAAAAGTTAAAAATAGTTAAAAAAAACATCTATTTATAAAGGATCGTTTAAATCGCTCCGTTTTAATTTGAAGTAAAATAAAGTTATGTTCCCTTTGTTTTAAGATCCTTTGTTTACACACAGGAAGCAATTCATGTAGGGCATGTTCTGGATTCGATCCGATTTTGCTGAATAATTTTCTGTCTCTCTCCTCGATCACTTCAGATATCTTAATACTCTTTGTCGTATACCATAACGATAAGCCCGCCGGAAAGACTTGTCTATACAATCCAAATATTTCTTTTGGAGTGCAGAGCCCCACACTTCAATGCAATAGTAAAAGAGTGACATGATTAGCGAATCGAATAATTTGCTTAGTTGATCTGCAGAGTAAGCATTGCATCTACACACTCTCAATATGTACATACGCCCGCTGGCCTTCGACAGAAGATCATCGATATGAAGATCCCCGCAACATGGATTTTCCTGAAATGTGACACGTAATAATTTCAACCAGCTCTTTCGTTCAATACCTACAATCGGTGCCGGTAACGATTTCATGGACCCACAGTGCACAACCGTTTCCCACGTTTTAGAAAGATTTAATGTTATTTGATTTGCTTCCGACCAATTCTGAATGCTTTCCACCTCAGCCTCAGCAGAAACCGATCCTGATTTTACTGGAGCACTTGTCGTTATATAAGCAGCAAATTTAATCGATAGGTTATTTTGCGCATCCATGGGTTTTATATCATTAACCATAAACGAAAATAGAAAGGGACCCAAAACCGTACCCTGCGGTACGCCTTTGTAGATATCAACATAAACAGTTTCTATGCCATCAACAACAACTCTTTGTTTTCTGTTGGCCAGAAAACTAATAATCCAGTTTATAGTATACGGATTAATTTCGAGTGTTTTCAATTTTTCACAAATAATGTTATGGGATACCGAGTAAAACGCTTTCTTATAGTCAAATGATGTTACCCTAACAGAGTCTGCACCTTCGTCCAGCCACTTGAGCCAATGATACAAACACATATAATCAGAGCATCGGTAGTATTTGTTCCCTCTTTATAAGCAAATTGATCTCGTCCGATCACGGATTTGAATGCAGACGCAATCTCCTGTTTATAAACTACCCTTTCAAATAATCTCATAATGATGTTTGTGAGCGATATAGGCCTCAACTGATTACACTCTGTCAAAGGAGATTCTTTGGGTATAGGGTTCACATTGGCGAGCTTCCACATCAGGGGGACCGACATTGTTGTTCGATTGAGAGATTGAACACTTTGGTAATTATGGGCGCTAAAAGTTGTGCAAAGTCTTTCCATAACCAATATGGAAGCCCATCAGGACCTGGCGCTGTTCGTTTTAGTTTTGTCAAAAAATTAATAACAGTAGGCTCATCAATGGTAGAAACTCGGGTACCTATAGGAATTGGTATGAGTTGGGGGGGGGGGGATATGTAGTTCGAATCCGTGTTTATATTTTGAAAGTACGAGTTAATATGTCGTGGATCGATGACTGTGCTAATATTGCTGTTCTTGCTTTTTCTACCAGTAATTCTATTCACAGTATCCCACCACTTTTTGGATCCAAAACTATTTTTTCTATTCTCATCATCAACGGAACGAACAAGATTTTCACGAATTAGCTCATCAATACGTTTTTGCAGATCATTATTGACTCCCTTCGTTATGTTCTTATTCCTTATCTTACATAAGTGTTTGACCAAAGGAGACATATATGGTTGGTCACGTGTTGACATTTTTATTTTAATTAACGGGAAACAGTCATTAAACATGTTCGTGTTAGTGTCATTTAATAGAGTAACTGTATCATTGATATTATTGCAATTATAAATGTGACTCCAATCACATGTCCCCAACTTCCTCATCATGCTGAATTTCCGATGAGCTCTTACGTCTCTGAAGTAGACATCCTTTCTTTCGGGTTTTATAGCTTGTCGCGGGAAAACCATGACAACCAAATGGTCAGATCTTACTAGACCTTTGAAAACCTTTGATTTTTCCCAAAGGTGTGGACAGTTGGTTAAAAATACAACCAAAGTTTATGATTTCGGGTAGGCTTCGTGACTAATTCTTCCAAGTTGTGCTGACTGCTATAATTATTCTTGCATTGGGCTCAGGATAAAGAATCTGTTTTATAGTTTCAGACAAGTGATTTAGTAACTCAGTCTCAGGATAAATGGGGTCAGATGAGTGGTATACTGAAGCTACGTCGTATCTATTATTAGGTGTTACAATTTCACATCAAACACACTCAAAGTTGTTGTCAAAATCCAGATTTTTAACTTTCAAGTCGTCTCTACACAGAATAGCCACTCCACCCCCCGACCGCGAGTCACACCGGTCTTTTCTGACAAAAACGTAATTGCCGAGACACACCAGGCTTGACGGAATTTTGTCATTTAACCATGTCTCAGTAATGAAACAAATATCAATGTTATTAGTGCACAACTCAACGTTTAGGGAGACAGCAGCATCAGGTTTTGCTAGAGAACGAGCGTTAATAACCATGCATTTGGGTATAACTTTAGGAATTGGAGGTCCCGTGTTCTAATGTTCGATTTCCCATGCATTATTTCTGTTTCTTATTCTCCTTACAGTTCTACGCGATGTTTGCTTTTTAGCAGGGTGATGGCTAATTCGGACAGGGATCTGAAATGTTTCTTTTGAATTCAACAGGTTTGGCGTAGCATTTAAAGTGCCTTCGGCCTTGTTTCTACTAATTTTTTTTATTTACATTTGTATTTGGATTTGTAGAAGCACTTTTATGCGATTGTTCGGTATTGCTGGTGTCAGAAAGTATGTTTAGATTTCTGCCCTAATGGGAAAGCTCACCTATTTTCGACTGTTCACTATTGTTCCTAACAGGGAAAACCACCTAATTGTCAGGGTAAGTTAAATCCTCTTGTGAGTGATTGATGGATTTTGGCAATGGCACCAAATCGTGGCGTGATCTATAGCCGTAAAAGTTTCTGTGTTATCCGGTACTTTTATTGGTGTGAAGCATGCATCGTTAGCGGTCTGAACAACAACGGGATTAATGTGAGGATTTGATTTACTAACCTCTTTTGTTTTGTTCGTGCCGCCGCTGCTAATGGAGGTTGTCAACATATTTTCGATATTTGCATGATTTTCGGCTCTTTTAGTCGGCAATCGTTCATGCGTAATATATGGTTGTCCATGGCTTGGATTTTATGGCTGAGTTTCGATTCCAAAACAACCAAGTCTAATTTCAAACCCTCCAAGCCTGGTGATAGCTTCGAACATTCACAACCAGTACACTGATGTTTTGTTGGTTGGTTTTCGTTGAAGCAGTTATCGGTGTTAGTAGCCATGTCCATACTAGACTTGACACTATCGAGGTTTAAACTCGTAAACATAGCGTTGATCATACAACGTTTTGTGCGATTTGCATCCTCTCCATTGATCTTTAGGAAATTTTTGTTTTTGCACCAAAGCAACTCAACGTTGTTTGACACGAAAAGTTTCTTCTCGTCCGCCGGGGATGACCAGCTTCCTTGCAACTCTAGGTCACTCTTTAGAAACTCCTTCAAACGATCAAAGTCGCAAGCCCAGGATAGTCTTAAATTCGCTGACATATCGAGTCAAGACTGTAGAACGCCGAATTCTACGTTTCAATTATCACAAGAGCAATTGCGTAGATTATGTCACAATTTGCTTCAAATATTTGCACGAGTTAAGATTGAAATTATCTGTATGTCTAGTCTACAGGATGGCAAATAAACTGGACGACCTCCTTACCTTGTGCTTTTTCCGGTGTCCCAGGATTTTCGCCCCACAGGATTTTCGCCCCTAGGAATATCGCCACCTAGGGGGGCGAGAATCCTAGGAATTTCGCCCCCTTTAGAAACTTCACTTTTTCTTTAGGATTTTCGTCCTCCGTTCAAAATTTCGCCCTTCCTAACAGTTGCATGGGATAATTATTACATGGCTTTAATCATTTGAAATCAGTATCAATTCAAAATTGTTAAGACAGAGCTTGAAATAACAACCGATCACCGATAAATGATCGGCAAGGAATTGCTTATGATCGGCGGTAGCCTGAGTATCAGGCCGTACTTCGGAAAAGCAGGGTTTCGGTTTCCAACCTGAAAAAAGCAGGGAAAGTCACGACTGCTGATCACCATGATCGGGAACTTTGGGAACGTTATTTCAAGCCCTGCCTGTAAGAATACAAATTTACAATTACATGTATCGAAAGGGCTTTACACAGTTACAGTAGATCAATACTGAATAGGACTTATGACGCTTCACAGGACACCATGCATATTTTGCATTTTCAGTGTTAATCCTTAAACTCATTGTTAAAAAGTAATCACCGTGGTGATTATTGTAATTATTGGTATTGTTTTGCATCCACGTTTTGTCGTTATCGGAAAATGTATGGCTTATAAGTTGTCACTATTTTTTACTTGCATTATTTCAATATAGTTTGTAAATCTCAGAAGCGAAGGGTAGAACTTGCCAATAGGCAATACTCCAATAATATACGTTTCAAAAAAGACAAAAAAGCTTTTAGTTTTGCAGAGTTACATTCTCAAATGTTTAATTCAAAGTATCATGAAATTATTTGAATAAACCACACCACATATATATAATGCAATTTTCTTTGCGGAAGTCAAGAATCACGATTACATCACTGACACTGACATGGAAAGTTGACGATTCAATGGACAATAGTCAATACGCTTCCCAACACATTCCATAGATTTTTTATTAATCCTATAGTTTATTGTTAACAAGTGATTACTCTGGCGGCTATTGTTAACACTGGTATTGATAAAATTTGCAAGCGATTGTTTTTATAATATGTTATGTGAATGTAAACTGCCAGAAGAATACGACAACATGATTTTATGCGATCTCTGTGGGCAATGGTTCCACTTTAGATGTGTAGAATATGACACTAGTCTAAGTACCTCAAATGAGTGATTATGCAGATTGTGCACACCACCAGCTGCTAAGAAGCTTAAAATGTGTATGTGATTTTGTCTCCTTGTAATAAATAAATAAATCACACAATAAATCTTTTCAACTTGCAATCGTTTTGTTTTTAGATCAAAAATTCAAAATTTATATGGGGGGCGAAATTCCTAAAGGGGGGCGATATTCCTAGGAGATTCGCCCCCTGGGGGGCGATATTCCTAGGAGATTCGCCCCGGGGGGGGCGAATATCCTAGGAATATCGCCCCCCTTTTGAGAGGGGCGAATCTCCTGGGGGGGGGGGCGAATCTCCTGTGACACCGGTTTTCCACAAGCGAATTTTTTCGCGCGAAGCGACCTTTTTCCTTTGTCGGCATCCATTGTGCAACGTCTTGCTGACGTAATAAGTGATACCGACAAAGGAAAAAGGTCGCTTCGCGCGAGAAAATTCGCTAGTGGAAAACCGGCTTTACTGTGGCGTAGTGTAAACAGCACCCGACTCTGCTATAGTGTAAACGGGGCCCTAAAGTGTTTGGGACAGCAGCACAAGACCTCTCAACTCTCTCCTCACTTCCCACCATTCAAAGTTGTACTTTGCAGAATACTGATAACCGTTTTCCAGACCTTCATGGAAAACACCAATTTTATAGTGTACAACATTCGCAGTTTTCTAAATTCGATTTCAGTCTGTAATAAAAACAAAAACACAGTACCTGTTCAGCTACGCCACCAGGTGTAATACTCTTGATACATATTCCTTGTTCACCAAAAAGATGACTAGGTCCTTCACCGATAGCAAAACCAAGACCAAGACTGCTCTGAAAATTCAAACCAATGACTTTGCTTTATTGTGTAAAGATTTTACAAAAAAGGACTTATGAGTGAGAATGGATATCACTTGAGAACCTTAAACTCCACTATTATTTATCATGGGAAAAACAACACCGCAAAACCTGCATTTGGCGAAACACTAATCAGAAAACTGCGTGTTGCTGCTGTGCAAACAACCCCATGTCATATACAGTGACGTAGCCAGAGGGGCCCAGCCCCCTGGCGGAATATTGGGGCCCCCTTGGAAAAATTCTGACCAGTAACAAGCATGTGCATTATATTTTCATTTCTTGTAATGGCAATTTTGCTAAAAAAGGCACTTTACCAACTCTAGAATTTAACACGTTTTCTCGGGGGGGAGGGGGGGGCATACTCCCGGACCCCCCCAAAAGTTCATTGTACTATATTATGCATTTCACCCAATAAACAAACTTTATTCGAAGTAGCGCAGAGTAAAATTGCTTCGGCTCCTTCTGGGATTTTTATGTAGATTTTTATGTATGATTTTGCATGTAGAAGTGAAGTGCACACACACTACCTATTGTGCCACTGTTTGACTTTACAATGGGTCACGCTACAGCCTACGCTCGGTTATAGTTATTTGAGTTACTTTGATACGACTTACGGACTGCTATCGTGATCGATTGTGCCTGTGCCAAGTGTTATCAGTGATGTTCCAAAATTGAGATGGGTGCTAAAGTAGTTCGTGACATTAAGCGAGATGACATCAGACCAGTCTGTAGAGAATTTTTTAACCCAGTCTCGTGTAACATCATCTCGCTCGGCCTTCCCCCTAGTGTTACGTAAACTCCTCCTAGTCTTATGTTTAAACTAACCCTAAAATGCGAGACTATTTAAACTAACCCTAAAATACGAGACTAACCTTAAGTAGAGAGACAACAGTCTGCGGTGGTGGTTCACTGTGTTCCTGAGTGACCATTTGAGGTACAGGACTATCTCGTTGTGATTCACTCTCATCTGTAACAACTAGGGGACTGGGAGTTTGTTTATTTAGTGACGCATTTGATGCATATTGCTCGAGAGAGGGTGAATGTGCGCGCTCTGAGATGAGTGCTGAATCCCGCGCGGCAGCACTACGTCGTTTGAGATAATTTGCACCTTCCTTGGTTCTCCCTAGTGCCAAGTGAACATGAGTTGGAGTATTGCGTAATATCGCCGAAGCATCATGGTGTGATATTCCACGTATTGTCACGTGATTAACTTCTAGGATTTCATCCATTGCTTTAATCTTGCCATCGTGAAAAGCGGCGCCATTTGGTTTCACATCAACGACAAATATTCTGTTCGCTGTTGCACCTCGACCACCTGCGATACTCAGTCCTAGTAAGACACGAAAAGAGAAGTTAGGAATATACCAGTAAAGTGTCGTTTAGATAAAGTGTTTATATCGTTAATAATATACATAAGAGTATTACTCGTCTGTGAATGGTTGATTTCAGTGTAGTTAATCTCAAACAGCTTACAGCAGTGCAATTTTCTGTAATCACAGTGCAATTTTCTGTAATCACTATAAACCAATCAAAATTGAACTAAGTTTTCGCGGGAAAAATTTAAAAACATTCTGTTTTCAAAACAAACATGGCCGCGTTTAGATGTTTTGTTTTATATACTGTTACGGTTATTTAAATGTTTGTTTGTCTTTTTGACGCTTAAAAATTACACGAACAAGCAAGTGTTTTGTACTAACTGCTTTGGCAGTTGTGTTGTCCAGTTTACGCATTTTGACGTGATAGCTAATATATTTGTTCTTTGTTTATTAATTAATAAAGGTCAAGTTCAAATTCGATTGTCTCGAATACTTTTACGTACATTATTTAACAATTATTCGCCGAAGGCGAGGTGATTATCGGTGAATAAAAACCGAGACGAAGTCGAGGTTTTTATTCACGATAATCACCGAGCCTGAGGTGAATAATTGTTTTAGTATAATTTCATAGGTGATTATTTGGAAAAAAATAAGAAAATACACATTTCTTCATCATTTAATTGACAAAAAGGCTTCGGCCGCCATTTTGAAAATCGCTTAGGTGTGATTATCGCGTAATAATCACCTCAACGGCAACCAATCAGCGTGTAGAATTTTCAATAATCATCTATGTAATTATACTAATAATAAGTAATAGCATGGTTTCTCGTGAAATTTGGATAAACATGCATCTCGTCCATGGGCCGAAGACCAGATAGCGCTATCCACTGCCCACTGGATAGTGATTTTTCAAGCTTTCTAAAATCCACCGATTGGTATAAGCCCAGGTTAAACTTTAGTATTTTATAAATCAGGGTTGGATTTACTGGGTGGAGTGCGCCCCCCCCCCCTAGCCCTGGCCAGAGGGGATGCTATTTTTCATGATAAAGCAAAACAATATTAGAGTCAAAATGAGATACAGTAATTTGAGTAATAACATGATGATAAGCGAACTGTGAACAACAATTACAATTCAAATACACTAGTCAAGCAAGACTTTGCAGTAGTCAAGCAAGTTGATGGGTGGGCGGCGCACATGACCGACAAAACTCGGCACCAGAGCTGGCAGAGCACACCCCTTACCAGATCATGCTGGATCCATCCCTGTTATAAATTACTATATCCGTAGTTTTATACATTTTCAAGCATTTTTTTCATGAACCATATGGTGGGTACAACTGATCCCAGGTAGATCCCAATAAAGATAGTTTATCATTCAGTTGATAGTTTCTATATATGTTGAGATTTGTTTACCTAAACCAAGCTCTCCTTTGACTAGATCCACAGTGTAAAGTTCTCCAGCAACATCAGGATATTTTTCTCGCAAAGCTTCTATTT